CGAAATTATCATGAAAAAATTACTAAATCGTGCCACGCCTCCATCAAGGCCACTACACTCAATGACAGGTATCAAACAAAATGCAGTTGTGCATGATGCACCCTGTATAGGGAGAGTGTTTCTCCATTATTTATGCTTGGGAATACGCGCTCGTGATTGTCTGCCCTGTATTTTCGGAACACCCTGTTTACACGCATATTAAAGAAAAGTCTGAATTCAGAGAAGAAAGTCTGAATTCATGCAGAGGAAGAAAGAATGAAGTTTGAGAATTCAGGGACAAAAGTCTGAATTCAGAAAAAAAAAATTCCGATATGGAAGAATGAAGTCAGAGTTCAGAGAAAAAGTCTGAATTCAGAGAAAAAAGTCTGATTTCAAAGAATGAAGTCAGAATTCCGAGTATAGAGTTGCTAAATCTAATTTCAGAGAAAAAAGTCTGTCTGAATTTAGAGAAAAAGTCTGAATACAGAGAAAATAGTCTGATTTCAGAGTATGAAGTCAGAATTCAGAGTATAAAGTTGAAAAACTCTGAATTCAGAGAATGAAGTCAGAATTCAGAGTATTAAGTTGAAAAATATGATTTCAGGGAAAAAAGTCTGCCTGAATTTAGAGAAAAAGTCTGAATACAGAGAAAAATGTCTGATTTCAGAGTATAAAGTTGAAAAAGTGAGAATTCAGAGTATAAAGTTGAAAAAATCTGATTTCAGAAAAAAGTCTGATTTCGAAGAATGAAGTTAGAATTCAGAGTATAAAATTGAAAAAATCTGATCTCAGACAGAAAAGTCGGAATTCACAGGAAAAATGCAAGGACTTGAGAATTCAGAAACAAAAATCTGAATTCAGAGAAAAAGTCTGAATTCAGAGAAAAAAGTCTGATTTCAAAGAATGAAGTCAGAATTCCGAGTATAAAGTTGCAAAATCTAATTTTAGAGGAAAAAGTCTGTCTGAATTTAGAGAAAAAGTCTGAATACAGAGAAAATAGTCTGATTTCAGAGTATGAAGTCAGAATTCAGAGTATAAAGTTGAAAAAGTCCGAATTCAGAGAATGAAGTCAGAATTCAGAGTATTAAGTTGAAAAATCTGATTTAAGAGAAAAAAGTCTGCCTGAATTTAGAGAAGAAGTCTGAATACAGTGAAAGTCAGAATTCAGAGTATAAAGTTGAAAAAATCTGATTTCAGAAAAAAGTCTGATTTCGAAAAATGAAGTTCTAATTCAGAGTATAAAATTGAAAAAATCTGATCTCAGAGAAAAAAGGCGGAATTCACAGAAAAAATGTATGGACTTGAGAATTCAGAAACAAAAATCTGAATTCAGAGAAAAAGTCTGAATTCAGAGAAAAAAGTCTGATTTCAAAAAATGAAGTTAGAATCCAGAGTATAAAGTTGAAAAAATGTGATTTCAGAGAAAAAATTCTGAATTCAGAGAAAAAAGTCTGAATTAGAACGGACCATTCTGAATTCAGAGGAAGCATTAATGAAGTTTGAATTTACAGACAATAATCTGAATTCAGAGAAAAAAGTTTGAATTCAGAGAATGAAGCATGAATTCATAGAATAAGGTCTTAATTCAGGAAATAAAGTCTGAATCCAAAGAAAAAAAGTTCCAACAATACTGTGAGGTTAGTTTTTCCCTGAAATATTGCCTGAAAAATGTTTGCTAATCTTAATGCATCAATCAAAATGTACGACGCTATCCAAAATTCGTCGCTGAACTGTAGAAATTGAATATCATATTGAATGTATCTCTGAAACCAGTCCATTGCATATCTTATAACTGCTGAAACTGATGAGGGGAAGGTGTATTTTATACAGGGTGTTAACAAATAAGTGTCACAACGGAAAACTGTAGATTCCTCAAAATAAAAGAAATATTTCTTTCATCTTCAAAATTTTTCTCCGGGCTTCAGTTTTCAAGATACAGGGCGTCAAAAAATCAAAAAGGTTCAGTTTAATTAAACACACTTTACAACACTCAATAAACTTAACAATTCGAAAACCAGCATCGAGACCAGCATACTAAAGAACCTGACATTTGATTGAACATATTATTTGACAGTTCTGAGGTGTTTATTTCCAGTGGATTTTTAGAAAATTTTGTTGTAATGCACAGTTCATTCCAGCGCCGAACCTGTTCAATTTGATTCAGATCCGGTGATCCTGCTGACTCAAAATACAACTGATACCCTCTAAAATGAAATAAAATCAGTGCATTTCTTGACCGTGCACTAAACTTGAAATTAATACGGGTTCCAGCTTCGTAGCATTGAAGCCTTTTATTGTCAGTGTCTGTGGTTCGTGTGAAGCCGGTCAAAAAAGTAAAAGGATGAAAGTGCATGCGATAATGGTTTTCTATTAGATTGCGTAATAATCGAAGAGCATAACTATCATTTCCTTGTGGATACGTAACGATAGAAACGAATGAGGTGAAAGTTATTAGAAGAAAAAGTGTACGTTATGTTGGCGTTCTGTCTATTAGAATGGTGTTCTCTGATTACGGTAGAAAACTGACTGGTTGGTGGAAGAGTACTGCAATCTTCACAGCAACTATTCATACTTTTGCTACGATTATATATCAACTAATCTTTTGTTACAATTTCACTAGGAAGTATTTTCAAGGTTTCTATATACAGGGTGAGTCATGACTAACCAGCCATAGCCTAATGGCGGATAGCGGAGGTCAAGGTGAGTTGATTTATATGTAAAAAAATATTTTTTGCCTATTCTTTACAGAAATACAGGGCATTATTTGAATTCGGGGCAAAACTTCAATGAACGATATTTCAGGAACATCTCGATGTTATCGGCTGAAATTCACTAGCAACTTACCTCTACTGACACTCCACAAGATGACGTACTATGAATAGAAAATTCCAGATCCGAACTTGGAAAACTCATTTTCTCTGTAGATGTCAAAATTTTGACCTTCTGGATCGGATTTTTCGGAAACTTCCATCAGAATCAGAAAGATCAGGAAAAATACTACAAGTATGGCTTCTCAACTCGTACGGCACACTTCGATCGTTTTGGTAAAAAAATATCAAACAAAATACCGATGAATTTTTCTTCGATTTCGTCCGGGCATATCACTCTCTAAATTCGACTAGGAGTAATTAAATCAAATTTTTTCCTGGAATGATTCAACAGCAGATTTGAAAAAAGGTATAATTCAATAAAAAACCCAGGACCGGACTTGTTTTTGGATAAAAACAATTATAATTTCCGAAAAAGATTTGTCTGGATCTTAATATTGATCAAGATTCTCGAAATGTCCTCCTCCAATTTCTATACATTTTCTGCATCTTTTCGGGAGATCTCCTATGGCTTTTCCAATAATTTACCTATTATTTCTGATTATATCTGCAGCTGTAACTATCCTGTGCCAATTTTCAATTGAAATCTAACTTCTACTTGTGATAATGTGAAAACATTGTATTCAAGAGAGAGAATACCTGGACACCCATTTTCCTAACCGCTGGATAGGTCGTGGCGGCCCTCATTCTTGGCCTCCTAGGTCCCCTGATCTCACAGTTTTGGACTATTTTCTTTGGGGGCATTGGTCTATCAGACTGTAGTCAACACCAGAGACGAACTGAGGGAGAGGATAGTTACAGCTGCAGATATAATCAGAAATAATATGCAAATTATTGGAAAAACCATAAGAGGTCTCCCGAAGAGATGCAGAAAATGTTTAGAAATTTGAGGAGGACATTTTGAGAATCTTGATTAATATTAAGATTCTGACAAATCTTTTTCGGAAATTATGATTGTTATTTTCCAAAATCAAGTCCGGTCCTGAATTTTTTATTGAGTTATACCTTGTCTCAAGTGTGCTATTGAATCTTTCCAGGGAAAAATTTGATTAAATTACTTTTAGTCCAATGTAGAGAGTGATATGCCCGGACGAAATCGAAGAAAGATTCATCGGTATTTTGTTTGATATTTTTTTGCCAAAACGATCGAAGTGTGCCGTACGAATTGAAAAGCCATACTTGTAGTATTTTTCCTGATCTTTCTGATTCTGATAAAAGTTTTCGAAAAATCCGATCCAGAAGGTCAAAATTTTGACATCTAAAGAGAAAATGAGTTCTCCAAGTCCCGATCTGGAATTTTTCATTCATAGTACGTCATCTTGTGGAGTGTCATTAGAGGTAAGTTGCTAGTGAATTTCAGGCGATAACATCGAGACGTTCCTGAAATATCGTTCATTGGAGTTTTGACCTGAATTCAAATAATGCCCTGTATTTCTGTAAAGAATAGGCAAAAAATATTTTATTATATATATATCAACTCACCTTGACCTCCTCTATCCGCCATTGGGCTATGGCTGGTTAGTCATGACTCACCCTGTATATATTATGTATAGTATCGATTGAAAGAAATCATTTTAAGAATCCCAAAAATATTCTTCCTACAGTTTTGTTCATGCGGTTATAAAGATATAGCTCGAAATGTATTGAAAAAACATCTGTTCTACTCAATCTTTTAGGTTTGTAGCTAAAATATTTATATCATCAGGGTTAGTAGTATATAATAATAAGATAATAATAACAATAATAGCGTTTATTGCACAACAGTTACCCATTTATAGGACAAATTATTTAAAAGTAAGTTCGAAGTGTACTTACAAACATTTTGATGAATAATATACAAGAATATTCAAATATAGATGGAGGAAAGAGAAAAAAGAATGAAAATACTACAATCTATAAAATATAGAAGGAAAAAAGAACTGCTTCATATTACATAATGTTTTCATTCAGATATTGAATATCCATATTTCCTATATAATTCAGTATATCACGATGAATATCACAGAAGTCATGAATGAGACCACACTTATTGTTTTTTGACAGTATTTTCAAGAAACGAAAAATCGAAGTGATTATTTACTGTCAAGGAAGTGCCACATATTTTTCATCTTATTCAGATCGTTGAAAGATTCTTACTGTTAAATTGTGATTGGGGTATATTTTTGTTGTTGATTTTTGTGTTTTCTTTTTCAGGAATTATGACCCTTACGCGGACCCCGTGTGAGCTCGACAAGATGAGCCTTTTTCAGGATTTGAAACTAAAAAGAAGAAAAGTGGATTCTCGTTGCAGCAGTGACGGTATGTATTAAATCAAGCAAACTACTCTAAAATAATGGCCTTTATGTCATTACTGAAATTATTCTGTAACGATTCATCAACTTTTGTAAGTCACCCTATATACTAGTTATACATATAAGATACAGGGTGTTTTTTGATTTTTCTCAAAATAAATACACCATGTATAGGGTTTAGTTGAGGAGTTACAGGACTCTGATGACCTTAAATGATAACTCTAAAAGTAGTTGTCAGAAAATCAATTATTATAAATATCGAATACTTCGAAAGAGATTTGAAGAAATAGTCAAAATTTGAATATTCTTCCTTCCGCTACATAGTATTGATTTGTGTAGATGTTCAAGTTCAAATGAATAGTTTAAAATCAGGGTATCTCCCATGCTGTAATGAATTTCCGCCTTAGGAGTGCCCACCTGATGTTCGCTGCAAATATTTGATATTTTCATTTCATCATTTAAATAATTTGAGATTTCCCCATAAGACGGATTCTAATAGTAAATATCGAAGGTACTGACGAAAAGAGTTTCATGTTTGATTGTTGGATGTTTTGTGAGCAAAGAGCAAGAAACAAAGACAAAGCATTGACAAAGTGAAAAAGAATGCGTAGAACTAAATGGAGAAAACCGAGGGGGAAACAACTACCCAAAATATGTACACCATATTCAAATATTAGCAATTAAAAAGTACTTAAAATACTTAAAACTGGTACTCAAGGTACTGTTAACGGGTACTTGAATACTGAAGTATTCGAAACGAGACTTAAAAGGTTTATTGAATATGTACTGTATGTATTAAAAATGATACTCAAAGTACTTACAATTCTTCTTAACTCACACAAGTCTCTGACTTTCGAGGGTTGCTTTGCAACTAAGCTGGCGGTTAAAAACACTTTTAAACACTTTTTTTCCATGGTGTAAACCTATTTAAAGAGTTGTTTCCCCCTCGGAGAAAACAAGACAAGTGGATAAATGCACCTCCATATTAGAGGTCTTATAAAGTCACTCTAGGTTAAGGTTACCGAACGTTCAGCTTACGAATCGATCAACTCGAGTAAGTTTCCGAAAGCGCCTAATCTCTGTCTCTTCTGTCTGCTTCTAGGCGAATCGATCGCCGACACGAGCACCTCCTCCTCGCACGACCTCCTATGCCCGCCCGCCTCGCCCAAAACGGACGGCCCTGCCTCCCACCACCAGGAGGGCCCCGCCCACCGGCACCAGGAAGGCCACGCCTACCACCGGCACCAGGAAAGCCCCGCCCACCATCGGCCGCCGCCCAGCCCCGACTCGATGACGCCCCACCCACTCGGCCACGCCCACCACGACCGCGGGCCGCCTGCGGTGGAGAGAAGCGACGCGCGATTGGACGAGCCGGGCGTGTTCGACGGGGGCGGCGGTGGAGGCGGGGACGGGGGCGGGACGGCTAGCGTCATCAGGTCAGTGGGTTGTTTGATATTCGACATGTTAGCCATTTTTTCTCGAATTTACCCCCACCAACCTTCTAGAAGTGTATTCCAATCTATGACGTAATAGTTAAACAACCACACAAACCAGCTCACTAAGGTAGTTCACGCAGTAGTTCAGGCTTTTGATTGGGCACTGGATTGTGCTCTTGTTGTTGTTGTTAAACTCTGTGGTTATATAATAATTGATAAGAAAAAATAATTATACTTCTTGAAGAGATAATTATCGATGTAGCAATTAAGGCTTTCAAGAATGCTTTTACTTTCTCTAGAGACCCCGGGGATCTGTATCTTAGAAATGAATAACTCGCGGACATATTTTCATGCGAATTTTTCTTCTTATTTTGACATCAGCAAAATGCTTCTGAATTTTTTGAACGTACTTGAGGAACACCCTGTATAAACAACCATTTAAAATTTGATCACAGTACAATCCATTGGAAAACCTGTATCTTTTTTCATATTCCAGTTCAACAGGTCAAAACAAGTGCAATCTTCATGCCAAGATTGAGAAATGTTGTTCCTCACAGCGTACTTGAAAAACTAGTTATTGATTTTTCAATTTATACAATTTGTTACTGCACCGAAATTCAAAAAAGATACGTATTTTTGTTTCCTTAATGTATGTGCTGAAGAGATATGCAGGTGGCATAAACAAAAAAATGAATGTTTGATCAAAACGTGATGACTGAATTGATTCATCGATAATTAATGATACCACAAATATTTTTTTCTGAAAAATTTATGTTTCTATTTTATGTGCGACGCATTGTGAATAGCCTTGACCACATCTCATTTATCCATGAGGGGAAATAATATATAAAGATTGCACTTGTTTTGAACTTGAACATGTAAAACTATACAGGGTGTTCCAAAGTTGCTGGCATTTTCATAAAAATCTGAAGTTTGCCATATTGGATTGTAATGTGATCGAATCCGAAATGGTTGCTTATATAACTGTACCAAATTTCAGAAAAATCCGTTCACGAATGCAAAAGTTACAGGGGTGGCCCGATACCCTGTGTCACCCGGTATAATTCTATTCGAAACAGTGAAATTGAAATATTCGTGTGCCCGTTCGGGTTCAAATTCATGAAATTCGCATGTGCACTAGTTCGTAATATTTTCCAACAATTTGAAACAACTTCTCATCCGTTGAAATCGTTCAAGTCACAGCTTGCAACTATTCCCCACCAGACCCCCGGTATATCCGTCTGTCTCCTTTCCAGGCACCTCCCGGTCATCCGATCTCTCAGCCCGCCCACCCGCCCAGCGCCGCAGTTCAGCCCCTCGCAGCCGCCTCGCCCACACAGCTCCCCCGGTCGCCACGCCCCCGCCAGTCCCCGCGCCAGCCCCGTCATCCGCCACACGCCCCTCCTCCTCCAACCCCCTGCCAGCCCACGAGCGGCGCTCGCCTGCCAGGAACCCACCTCCTCCTCCATGTCTCTCCTGACCGCGCCCACGCCCAGGGGCGTGATCATCGCCCAACCCACCGCCCCCTTCAACCAGCACTGGCTGAAGCATTCGAGGATCAACGGCGTCAAGCCCGAGATCATCGGCGGCACGTTCGTCAACCCGCCCGCCCCGCCCAGTCCCAGGAACAACCCAGCGGCGCGGCAAACGCCCACCGTCATCATGGGCGAGGCGGGCGGCGTGCGGACGATGATCTGGTCGCAGCCGTCGCTGACTCCGCCCCTCGGCGAGCCCACCACCTCGGGTTGGCCGGTCGCGACCAATACGGACGAGACGGCGGCGCAGCTGCTGCTCAACCTCGGCCAGGACCGACTGCGGCCGGCGAGTCGCTGCCTGGGACCGCCCACTTCCCCCACCTCGCAGTTCTCGAGCGCGCCGCTCAACATGGAGCGACTGTGGGCCGGCGATCTGTGCCAGTTGCCGGCCGGGCAGCAGACGCAGGCGCTCAACCTGACTGCCCCCATTCTCGCCCCGCCCGGGCTGTATAGGGTGGGGCTGGAGGCCGGGCAGGCGGAGCAGATCGAGGAGGAGGAGCAGCCGATGATCTGCATGATTTGCGAGGACAAGGCCACGGGGCTGCACTACGGGATTATCACGTGCGAGGGGTGCAAGGGGTTCTTCAAGAGGACTGTGCAGAATCGGAGGGTGTATACGTGCGTGGCGGACGGGAACTGTGAGATTACGAAAGCGCAGCGGAACAGGTGTCAGTACTGTCGGTTTAAGAAGTGTATAGAACAGGGGATGGTGTTGCAAGGTGAGGAGTTCGTTATTTTTGATTTGTTGTAATTGGTGAATGCAGTATTGAAAACGGTGTCATTTTCAGTGTAACTAGTTACAGTGTATCCAATATCAATTGCAGAATATTCCGCACTGTGCGGTGTCGGCGTGTTTGAAGTTCCTTTGAAGTGACTGCAATTGTTTTTGGATACACTAAAAAAGAGTGTTTCATTTTGTCGTTTTTTCTGTGGGATATTTCCCTTATATATTGAATGTTTCATATGAGCAATGCAATTATCGGAAAATTACATTTGTGGTTATGTCTGATTGTTAGTGCAGATTCTTGATCGATGCTGTTGTGGTAAAGAGTCTGTTGGAGAGGTATACAATATACACAATGAATATATCAGGTACTTTACTCTTCAGATTCTTGATATTAATGAAATCTCAAATGTTGTTCTTCCTGCTTCCTTGTGAAAATTCATGTGGGGCATATAATTGAAAAGAAATACCATCAATTGATAATGGAAGTTAGAAATTAAATCAGACTCACAATTCGCCAAGTGTTCAAATTTCCTTTCATCAACAGCAGTATTAGTTTTGTAGGAAAATACAACATTTTATTCAATCCTTGTCTTCATTAGTAAAAGCTATAATTGTAGGCTCTACTACATACATTCCCAGCTTCACAAGAACAAACACAATCATGTCCAATCGTTCGCTGGAAGGCAACAATTTCAGGGCAGCAGAAGTTCGTAGAACCTGCCCAATAATGTCAAGTTTTTGTTTCTGTACATTTCTCACTTGACACAGATAACATTTCCAGGATGGTATACCTGTTAACCATCCACCATCGGCCGATATCTATCATCAATATATTAGAGATTGTCCACCGAATTGATTTCAACAAGCACCATCGTTCAAGAATTACTCTAAACATTTAAATTTCGAAATGAAAATGAAATTATCACATTAAATGGGGGTTCTCATGACACTATATCATTGATATTATATACAAATACGAATCAGAACTTCTATGCTTGTTGTGGTCCGACTACGGTGGTCCAGACCTGCCGCTGAACGTAGCCCAAGTGTCCGTACTCTAATATACAAAAAACGTCAAAATAGCAGTGTCAAGTACATTTAGGAACTCTAACATGAGTTATATGACAAGTCAACAAAGCAGCACACAAAATAAGTTTACCACAAAATAATAGTGATAATGATAATAATACGTTCCTAATTAACAGTAATATTGATATTGACAAATAAATCAAATGGACAAAGACATATAAAACTGCAATAGGACTTTATAGTCTTTATTAGCAGAATTAACACCTCCTCCACTCCAGCCGAAATGTCTTTGCAGCCGTTCGGGAAGACCGGATGCCGGGAGGCCGTAACAGCGGCGCCGTCTACAACCTCTACAAAGTGAAATACAAGAAGCACAAGAAGCCCACCACCAAGCAGCAGCAGCAGCACCAGCAAAAGAGCCCGATGTCGCCGCAGCAGCAGTACAAGCAGGACCAGCAGTTCAAGCAGGAGCAGGCGCCGATGGGCGCCATCTGCGCCGATCTAGTCAACGGCACGATCCTGAAAACGGCGCTGACCAATCCCAGCGAGGTGGTGCGCTTTCGGCAGCGCGTCGACAGTGCCGTGAGTAGTTCGCGGGACAGGAATTTCTCCGTGGAGTACTCGCTGTCGATGATCAAGACGCTGATCGACTGTGATGAGTTCCAGGTGAGAGGATGATTCGGCCCGAAAAATCAGACAATTATTCGAGAAATCGGATTCCTTCATTAACTAAATCATGGAAAAACTTTCTCACCAACAACCAACTACAATGACACAACTATTTCGTCAAAAAATGACTCGACAAAGTTATTTTATCAAAATGCAACTCACTGACTGACTAACCAACTTCTCAACTTACTTCGCTTTGTTTTCTATTGCAGTTCCAACATGTTCTCGTGACCTTAAAGTCGTTGTTAGTTGGCCGTTGGTGAAATACGAATGAATATCAACACCCATTTTATCACGTGCAGCTTCTGAACTAACCAACTACTCAATTAACTGATAACCCAACTTAAAAAGCCAATACATCAACACTCGTTGCCAGTCGTTCCTAGGAGAATTCTTGTATATTCCATCTCGTTTGGCCTTTATTTTAGGCCACGACCTTTGATCACTCTACATCTACACCAGTCAACACACTTCCATTTCGGCGTGTATACCTTTAGATGAATACAGACTTTTCATTTCGTTGTTTCGCTAGTATCATCACTTTATCATCTAACATAGATCCAACATGTTCGAGTGGCGTTCGGTCGTCGTTAGTTGATTCGTTGATGAAATGTTAATGATGATCAACAATTACTGGAAGAACTGCTCGACTACAACACCGTCCTGGGCAAGAAGCTGTGCAACATCGGCGACTCGATCGTCTACAAGCTGGTGCAGTGGACGAAAAGGTTTACCTTCTATTCAGAGCTGTCCGTCGTGGTGCACACCAACATACTAAAAAATCAATAAACAACCAAATACATCAACAGACTCTCGCTCCTGTGTTGATTAATAGGTGCTTGTCATTCCGTTGCGCCGCTTGAGTAGTGGCTCAAGCTAATCGGAGACCAGCTTCTTGTTGGAGGCTACAGAAATGCCACGGGAATGCCACGGAAATGCCACGGAAATTCCACCGAAGTGTCACGGAAACGTCACGGAACTTGTAAATGTCATGGAAATGCCACGAAAACGTCAAGAAAATGCCACGGAAACGTCAAGAAAATGCCACGGAAACGTCAAGGAAATGCCACGTGTGAATTTATATGTTCTGTGACGTTTTCGTGAAACTCCCGTGGCATGTTCTTGAGGTTTCCTTGGCATTTCCTTGGCATTTCATGACATTTCCATGTTCCGTGACGTTTCCGTGACACTTCGGTGGCATTTCCGTGGCCTCCAACTAGATGCTGGTATCTGATTTGCTTGAGCCAGATAATACATAGCCCCTCTACTCTTGTCATTCCGTTACTCCGCTTGTGTCATCTCTCAGAGCTCCAACCTGTTGCTGGGCTCGTCTAAGTTGAGGCGTTTTTAGGATGCGAACGCTTATTTGTAGGATATCGCCACCTTCCGGAATTTGGACGAACTGCTCGACCACAACACCGACCTGGGCAAGAAGCTGTGCAACATCGGCGACTCGATCGTCTACAAGCTGGTGCAGTGGACGATAAAGCTGCCCTTCTATTCGGAGCTGCCCGTCGAGGTGCACACCAACTTACTAAAAACTCAATGAACAACCAAAAGCATCAACAGACTCTTGCTCCTGCGTTAATCAATAGGTGCTTGTCACTCCGTTTCTCCGCTTGTGTCATCTATCAGAGCCCCAACCTGTTACTGCACCCGTCTAAGTTGAGGCGTTTTTAACATGCGAACGCTTTTTTGCAGGACATCGCCACCTTGCGGAATTTGGACGAACTGCTCGACCACAACACCGACCTGGGCGAGAAGCTGTGCAACATCGGCGACTCGATCGTGTACAAGCTGGTGCAGTGGACGAAAAGGTTGCCCTTCTATTTGGAGCTGCCCGTCGAGGTGCACACGAGGTTGCTGACGCACAAGTGGCACGAGCTGCTCGTGCTGACCACCTCGGCCTACCAGGCCATACACAAGGTGCAGGGGGAGCAGCAGATAGCTGCTACTGTGCTCGAGACCGATTTCAGCCAAGAGGTGAGTCTTTATCGTTCTTTCTTACAAAATCTTTTATGTTTATGTTAGCACTAACTAGTGCACTGTCATAAACCGTTTTTTCCTCAGAGCTCTGTACTTTTTCGAAATGATCATTGAAATTCACGATGTTTCATAACATGATAGAATGCAACCATATAAGATTTAACTTACGTATCCATTCTCTATTTCTGTAAACAGGTGCAAGAATATTTCTGATTGTCGTTTTTATCAAATTATGGAATACATTTTCTGGACTGAATGCTCACTGCAAATAACAGAGAAAAGAACACACAACTGAAGAATCAGATAATATGAGGATTATCTTCGAATATTCGAAGTATTTGTTAAATTTGATGCGGGATTTGACTAGACTAGACTAGAAAGTATTTTTTTTATATCTCTGCGAACTCGAAGCATTACGCTGTTGCCAGAGTTACAAAATATTTTGGGTTTAAATAGAATCTCGATTATCCTCAGGAACATTAGCATATGCCTAATGGCAGTGGCACTGGTTGTTGAGGAACAAATTGCCACGTAAAAAGGTATGTGACGTCATCGAAAGCTGGCGTTTTCTGAAGGTGCCGATTTTAATCATTGAAAAAAGTATTCGTGATGATTTTGAGAAACTAATGATTGCATTAGATACCATTTATACTCGGAATGATCAATATAAATTTTTATGTGGCGTAAATTCGACCAGTATGTACAACCTTATTGGTATGTTGGTGTTTCGGAGATTTTGAATTCTTTGTCCAAATTGACAAATTCAAAATGGTGGTTCCAAGATGGCGGACAAGATTTGTGATTATGGTCTGATGCGATTCAAAACTAATAATAATATTTGGGAGTTTCCGGGGTCAGAGATTTTGACTTTTCGATATGGCGGTTTCAATATGGTGGACGAGATTTGTGATTATGGTCTGATTTGATTGAAAATTGGTGTGGGAGTGTTTCCGGGGTCATGAGTGATTTTGAGTTCCTTGTCGAAATTTATGAATTCATAGAGGTCGGTTCCAAGATGGCGGACAATATCTGTGTTATGGTCTGAATCGATTCAAAACTGATGATATTATGTGAGGGTTTCCGAGGTCAGGGATTTTGAATTCTTTATCGAAATAAATAAATTCAAAATGGCGGCTCTAAGATCACGCCAGAACAAATGAAAATCTTTTCTGCGATCAATATATCGTGGAATGAATAGACTTTTCAATCATAATTTTCTTTTTGATCCCTACCCAGCATATGTGAGAAAATAATGGAGAAAAATCGCTTAATTCTAAATGTATATTCTAATTGATTCCCAGCGAGCACAAAAACATCTCAGAGATGTTAAAAGTACGAGATTTCGAGACATTGAATCTCCACTGCGATGTTCTGTTCACACATGAATACTACAATAAACTATTATAGAACAGCCAATGTCCGCCGCAGGCGGCAATTATCGAGATGTCCTTGATATGTCACAAAACTACCTTCTCCCTAGTTCTTTTTAAAGCCTCATGGACACAACAAAACATTTTCAACGCGTCTTGCGCACATTAAATCGCTGTAAAAAAACCATTTTCGAGGTACTTTTCTGAAGCCTTTTGTCAAAATGAACTTTTGCATTAGGATTCCATTTCCCTTGAATGAAAAAATGCATTAAAAATAGATTGAACATAAAAATATTTTCTTGATATGAAAATACCTTCTTAATCGGTTTCTGAGTAGTGCTTACTACACACAGACATATAATTGGAAATAGGTTCCCCAATTTTTGAAATGTTCTCCACATTGAATAATTTTGCAACTGCGGAGAAGCTGTGTATTGATAAATTCGTACTTTTATATATTGATTACACTGAGGCACCGAACAACACATCTTGCATCTGATGGTCATTATTACAAACTGAATAATTCCTTTCTGTTCGTTAGCAGCATGATCTAAGCGTGACACGCTGCAAACGCGAATGCCAATTGCGCACAAGAAGAACAAAATCGAAAACAAATCAGAATTCATCGTATTGTGACGTAAGCATGAGACGTTGTGGTGGGGCAAACAAAGGAAGGGCACAAAAGAACAAAAACAATACTTTCAATATCCTTCTAAGACCTCTTTGGGAAGTGCATATTACGCCTCAAAAAAACATTCTCATGCCTACATTTCTAAAACATCCCAAAATATCCCAGGGATACCTCTCAGTAGGCAAACAAAGAAATGCCACAGAAGAACAAAAACAATACTTCAATATCCTTCAGAGAACTCTTTGGTCAGTGCATATTACGTCTCAAAATAACATCTTCATGCCAACATTTTCAAAACATCCCAAAACATCCTAGGGATGTTTGTGCTCGCTGGGTTAGAACATACATGAAAAACTGAAATTGAAAGTTTCTATAGTGTTTGTCAGGAATATTAAAAAATAATCATCAAAATATTCTTGTTTACAGTCAATCCCAATGAATATTCTCAATAGAGACTGAATTATTTCTGCTTGTATTTCTCTACCGGGACAATCGCCGATAACAGTTCAACGACCAAAGCTAAATTGAAATTGAAATTGGGTCGACAACATATGTTAGACGCGACATTTTTATAGTGATCATTTTTCCGGTATATACGATACGCCTAATTGCATAAGAACAATAAGAAATATCGATTTTTCATGTCGCCGAATTCGGCATTACCATATGGGCTTGTTTCTACTGACGAATCATCATACCACCAGCATACAGGGTGATTTACGTAAGCCATACAGAAGTTTAGAAGAAAAAGCAATACAAGTCCCAAAGTCTGTCGACCACGAAAGATTATTTATTAAGAAGTGTAACTAGTTTCGGCCACAGGCCATCATCAGACACAAAAATGCTGTATTCGGAAGAACCTAAAAGATTCGAAGAGCCAGGAACATCATAAATCACATGAAAAGTAAAACATGACAAAGAAAAAGTTACACCAGTCAATGTCAAATATGATAAAACTGATAAGACATTGACAAGAACCAAATAGAATTTAGAAAGCAATGGAAACAAGAGTTTGGGAGAAGAATAGGTCGCGTACACGATGACCGACCCTGGAGGCACAATATTGAAACACAACCTCATTCTTCTGTGAATTATTGAAACACAACCTCACTTTTTTACTTGGTTACGGAGGAATCAAAGGATTGAAATAGTTTTTCACAATATTTTGGCATACAAATCGTGTTTTTTGCGCTATTCATTAATTCGAGCATGCCTTCGCATTGTGCTGTTGTACAATGCACAAAAAATGCAGCAATAGACTAAAGAATATGATTTTTCAGGTAAATAGTAATCTCACATAGTTATCATTATGAAATGTTGTCATTCCTTATTAAAATTCCTTCTGCCTTCTGTCACTTCTGCAATACAAGCTAATACTGCTAATAGATTGAAAATGTCTACAACACACACGATCGTCAGCATGTCAGACCAGTCCTCCCGATTGATTGCATGAATCCAATTTTCTGGCATTATTTTAGAAATTTCAGATGTATTTCTATTAGCTTCTATCGCAGAAAGAATTCCGATGAGAAATCAGAGAAATTACCAAATTTCAAAAATGAAAACTATATGTGACTGACTATAGTAGGTACTTACTTTTAAATCATATTGTACCAACCGGATTACTTCGTCTTCCGCTGCAGTTTTTGTGCATTTCACAACAGCATAATGTGATGGCATGAGCGAATTGATGAATAGCGGAAAAATACGATTCGTATGCCAAAATAATTGTGAAAAACTATTTCAATCACTTGTAAACAAATAAGTAAAGTGACGTTGTGTTTCAATATTTTGCCTCCAGTGTCGGTCATCTGACAGTTCTTGCACGCAACCCATAACAATAGACCAATATGGGTTATAATATGTTTCGATGCTAATCATTGAAATTTTGAAGTACGAAAAATTAAGCTACGTTCGAAATTGGTTTGATCATTAAAACAAGTGAAATTGGGATTATTTACACATTTTTGAATTTCTAGAATTTCCAATAGGTTCAACCTAGAGCCTTTATTACAAATGTGGAGAAATTCAATGTTGTCAGATATATTGAAATTATGATTGGATTCCATTATATGGTTTGAGAAAGAGGAGCTAAAATTGTTCTAAAATTAAAAAATTATGGGATGCTGTTATTATCGATTATATTCAGTCGAGCAACTTCCTAATTTTAATAATAAGTCTGCATTTTTTTCACACTGTTCGATTGGCCATTTAATTCGTAGTTTAGATAACCTAATTGCTGTCAACTCATTCATCAGAGTTTTTAATATACAAGGTGTCTCTGAAAGGTCTGTACAAAATCTCAACACATATTTCTGAAGTCGAAATAAGTCGATCTGAAGCAACTCACCTCTGTCTGAAACTGCTTCATTTCCGAGATACAGGATGGTAAAGTTAAAATGTTCCAGTTCCATGGCTTTCCATGACTTTTCATCAATAACACCAGTTCAAATCACATCACTCTCACCTTCAATTGAATTTAACATTGAAGTGAACATGAAAACTCTGAAAATTCACGAGATTGCAAGATCAGTAATAGATTCTGTAGCAACATGACATGGTGATGACAATCTCTTCTACACGCTTTGATCGCCAGAAAACTTCTCAATCGGTTTCCTGCTTCGAAATTATCTTGCTCGTCAAAACAATTTTTTTTTATCACTTGATGTCATAATTGTTGTTTGTGGACCACCCTGTATATAAGAGTAGGTTGATCATGCATCATTTCAAGATTTTCTACCACCGTTCGAACCAGATTAACAGGAACACAACGCCAATAGAAATTAGAGCATCAAATTATGCATTATCTTAATCAAACATTCATATTTCAGTAACGCATGTGTCAATTCCAAAAATGTTTTCACAATATCTAGAAAACATATGAAGGAATATGTTTTTGACCCAAAAAAAATATAAAAATGTTTTTTTCAAACGGGAGGCGATTGGAATTTTTGGAAAAATGCACAACTGTGATTATCATCCTGTAGAATCTCATCCGCAAAAGATGAAATAGTCCATAGGTTCGATAGTCAATGAAACGAGCTTTCAGAAACTGAAAAATAATTGTAAATCGGTTGAGGAAATCGAAAGTAATGATGCTTCAAATTTGATCCAGAAAAGGCGATTTTACGTTTCATGTGTTGAGCAGTGTAGTTTTGATAAGTTCGAGTAATCCCACTGTAATCTACAATTTTCATGGGAATTTGGGATAAATTGATCAGGGTGCCATGCAGATATTGGATTTCGATGAACTGCTTGACAGGAGTTATAAAAACATTGCATTGCAAATTGAACGAGGAAATCGACAGTTTTTTATTTATTTACAGAGATATAAGCAGGAGTATTATTTGATTAGTGATTTTTTTATCTAGCATCGGCTGATTCATGGAAAGACGATAACAATAGCCATACTTATTTTGATAGCAAATATTTACAATTTCGTTACAGTCCAAAAAAACTGCGCCGAATATTTTTCAATTGATAATTCCGATTTGATTAAGATTGGGTATTACATTCTGTGAACCTACCTATATCTATAGTTGGATGGCAGAATCAGTTTCCATTTACACTATCGTATATTTAACGGTGTTATTTAATGTTTGTTTGTCCTGTCGAATATTATGCAACAATCTGAAAAGTTAGAACATACTGTGTGAATTCAAGCGATTTGGTATTCACGCTACAAAATCTCAGATTTTATCATTGCAACCCCGCAATAATACAGGGTGAGTCGGGAGGGACGCACCAAACTTCAGGTGTATTGTACACGTAAAAATAATTTGAAAAAACCCATATATGTTCTTATACAATTCTCATTTGTTTTTATTCTAAATTTGAATACATGTGTATACGTATACAAAATTAAAATTACATTTCGTATAAAACCGTGAGCTAAAATCTAATATTTTTCCCGTGTATAATACACTATTCTTTTCTGTGACAGAAGAAAGGATGAATCAATATTGAGAAGATATTACATTATTTTGAAATCTGAAAATAATCGACGTGAAATTTTAAGTTTTTAACAGTAGGGACACCTGCGTTGTAGGCATCTTTATCATTCTTTTGAAGTATTCAAATATCTGATGTCACTTCTGTCAGTCTAATTCTATGATTTGATTTCAAAAAACTGTGAATTTAGTGGTTGTTTAGTAATATACGTAACCGCGAAGTCGAATGGAAGATAAGAGGACTTGCAGTTCTTTCTCGGAGACGGTATAATTGACTCATTTTTCGGAACTATAGCACAACAAAAACAAAAGCCATCAACAATGCATATACTATACAGTGTGTCCCACTTACCATGCTCACCATGGGTATCTTTTTAACGGTGAGAGATACGAAGTCGGTTAAATGACACTAAATGTGGAGTTTGTCAAGGCCAACTATAATGTGAAAAAATATTTTGATAAAATCGATTCGTTTTTGTTTTATACGCAAAAAACAGATTTTGATCATTTTTATGTCTCCTCCGTTACTTCTTTATTTATGAAAATATTCAAATAGGAATTTCACATCCTCATGGCAGTTTTCCAAAGTGATTTCGAAAAAAATATGAAATTTATACCAACTTTTCTAGAATTTGAGATATCAGCACCAACTTCAGTTTTTCAAATGTAGGTCATAACTCACTATGACTTAGTTACAAATAACTTTTTTTTCTCTTACAGATGATATGTCGCAGTAATAGTTTTGTGTTGATAACTACGGAGTTATCGTCATTTATACAAAAACAAAAAATTATTTGGAAGCCGCCATCTTGAATTTATAAATTTTAACAAAAAAATCATGATCTCCGACCTCAAAAACCCCCACTTACCAATTTTGAATGGAATCGGACCAAATCTTGTCCGCCATCTTGGAGCAGCCATTTTTTTTTAAATTAACAAATATTCCATAATGTATTGTCACCGAAATTATGAACACCAGCCAAATTTCAAGTTAATCGGAGTATAAAAAAAGTAAAGGGGGGGAGGCATTAAAGAAAAGCAACGTATATAAAAATCAGCTTGGTTGCTCCTCGTTGTTCCTCGAACATAGTAGGGATTCACTTTAGTGCGCTCCAAAAAAAATTTGGTCTTCATTTTTTTTTTGAAAATTTTCCTTGGTTACAGGTGGAATCGAACCTGGGTACACTGCAGAACTGCCTGATATCGATGATGGGTAGAGAGATAACCATCGAGCAACTCAGACAAGACGTGGGCCTGATGATAGAAAGGATCACCCACGTGACGCTGATGTTCAGACAGATCAAGCTGACCATGGAAGAATACGTGTGCCTTAAAGTTATCACTATGCTGAATCAAGGTGAGAAGAAAACGATAATATGAAAACTCGATGTCCCATATTTTTCACACGAAATTCACATTTTGACCCAATAAGAAAAATATTGGTACGCTCATGGAATGAGAATTCGGATGTGTTCTTTGTTTTTTGTCGCCCTCTGTACATTTGTCAAATAATGTTTAATTTTATAAAATTCAGCGGAATTATGGATTAAAAGAAGATCGAATAGTACTCCACCAGAAATTACTGAAAAAACAGTACATTACTTTACCGATCTTCCACTCAATGTGACGTTCGCCTACTTAGATGCAAGATGTACCAGTTTTTTGCCCTAGAGCGCTGAAGTTCTACTTTGCGTCCGCTGGCCGAGGCGATAAAGTACATCTTCAGGTCCGTTCGTTCACGAAAAAATTCCCTGTATTCTAATTTCGAAATCAGCGCTCAAAATTGTAAGTTTGTCTCTGAAATATAAAAAATAGTGTTCCTACGATGAGATTTTAATTCTTGAAGAATTTTGGGTGCGCTCATGAGTTAGGAACATTAGTTTAAATCGTTCACTAGTGACGAACACTTTCAGTATTTCGAGTCTCATGAACAACATTCGATCAACTTGAATAGAAACAATGTTCTATTTTCAATTTATTATGCAATTTGTTTGACCACATTGAAATGTCAGTGTCAGAATGTGTTCTCTTCAAGGACTATAATCGGATAAAAATCCTGAGAATTCGAGGTAGGTAGGTACAGAAACAACTCGTTTGGAAAGTTAATTTGGATGAATTAAAACCAAAGAAATCCCACTGACGTCAAAGATTCTCACTTTCGTATTGGAATTGGTATTTTGCCGTTTTGTTTTTTTGAAATATGTGGATGAATTATGTAATTTGCTAGTGATGCTTTCACCAAATACTCGAATAATTCGATTCATTATAATATTTGGTGAAGGCACAGAAACTTTGCGAATCCACCAGAAATTCAAGAATTTTCAAATTATTGCTCAATAATATTTTAATGATAAATTCTTGTGTTCAACGAGAACTCTTTTATTTTTGAAAAACATGAAAACAAAACTGACAACAATGAATTATTGAAAATAACAATGATAGCTAAACTATTTATTTAGTTATTATTAAATGTACAGGGTTTAGAAAACCTTCATGAAATATGTTATTCAATTTGTTTGACCACATTGTAATGACTGTGTCAGAATGTGTTCTCTTCAAGGACTATAATCGGATAAAACTTCTGAGAATTCAAGATAGAAAGATACAAAAACAACATATTCGGAAAAATCAATTTGGATAATAATTGATATTCAAGGAAATCCCTCCGACGCCAAAGATAACTACTGGACTTTTACTTTTGTGTTGGAATTCGAATTTTGCCGTTTCGTTTTTCTCAAAATATGTGGATGAATTATGGACTTCGCTGGTGGTGCTTTCACCAAATACTCGAATAATTCGATTTATTTTAATATTTGGTGGAGGCACAGAAACTTTGCAAATCCACCAGAAATTCAAGAATTTTCAAATTGCTCCATATTTTACAAAGGGGAAACAACTCCTTAAATAAGTGTACACCATGGAATTTTAAGTACTTGAAATATCATTTTTGAAACATTAAGTTAAATTTAATAAGCTCTCAAGTACTTCAGTACTAAAATTATCAATTGAAGTACCTGTTTAATTATGTTTTCTCTATATTTTTAGTACCTTCAGTACCAGTTTCAAATATTCTGAGTACTTTTTAATTGCCAGATATTCAGATATGGTGCACACATTTTGGGTAGTTGTTTTCCCCCTCGATATTTTATTAATGAATTCTTGTGTTCAACGAAAACTCTTTCAATTTTGGAAAATATGAAAACATGAGTCAAATACATTCACCGGCAACAAAACAGACAACAATTCATTATTAAAAATAATAATTATTGCAAAACTATTTATTAAGCTATTAAATGAACAGGGTTTAGGAGCACTTCATGGAATATGTTATGCAATTTGTTTGACCACATTGGAATGTCAGTGCCAGAATGTGTTCTTTTCAAGGACTATAATCGTATAAAAATCCTGAGAATTCGAGGTAGGTAGGTACAGAAACAACTCATTTGGAAAGTTAATTAGGACGTCAAAGATTTCCACTTTTGAAATGAAATTCGTATTTTACCGTTTTGTTTTTCCTAAAATATTTGGATAATTTTTTAAATGAAATTCGTATTTTACCGTTTTGTTTTTCCTAAAATATTTGGATAATTTTTGGACTTCGCTGGTGGTGCTTTCACCAAATACTCGAATAAGTCGATCTATTTATAATATTTGGTGAAGGCACAGAAACTTTGCGAATCCACCAGAAATTCAAGAATTTTCAAATTGCTTAATATAATTTTTAATACATTAAGTAAAATTTATTAAGCTTTCAAGTACTTCAGTACTGAAATTATTAATTGAAGTACCAGTTAATTATGTCTTACCTATATTTTTACTACCTTAAGTACCAGTTCTGAATATTTTGAGTGCTTCCTAATTGACAGATATGGTGTACCAGGAAAGTAGTTATTTCCTGTTGAATAAACCGAAAAAGAATTAATATTTTCATCACATGGAGAATGCGAATTCTCAATAGATTTCCTTATATCCATTTTTTTGTGTTCATAAATATATCTGAAAATATTCCTTTTCAACTCTTTTATTTTCGGAAGATATGAAAACATGAGTCAAAATACATATACCGGCAAAAAAACTGGCAACAATTAATTATTAAAGATAATAATTATTGCAAAACTATTCATTTTGTTATTAAATGTACAGGGATAAGGAAAACTTCATGAAATATGTTATGTAATTTGTTCCACCACATTGAAATGTCAGTGTCAGAATGTGCTCTCTTCAAGGACTATAATCGGATAAAAATCCTGAGAACTCGAGGTAGGTAGGTATAGAAACAACTCATTTGGAAAGTTGATTTGGATGAATAAAAACCAAGGAAATCCCACTGACTTCAAAGATGTATTGGAATTCGTATTTTGTCGTTTTGTTTTTCTTAAAATATGCTGATAATGTTCGCTGGTGGCGCCTTCACCAAATACTCGAAGATTTCAATTCTTTATAATATTTGGTGAAGGCACTGAAAAACTTCGCGGGTCCACCAGAAATTCAAGAACTTTCAAATTGCTCCCACGAGAACTCTTCTATTTTAGAAAAATATGAAAACATGAGCCAAGATACATTCACTGGCGAAAAAATAACAGGCCACAATTAATTATTATTAAAAAAAAACAATTTCCCAACTATTTATTTAGTTGAATATGTTATGCAACATGTTTGACCACGTTGGAATGTCAGCGTCAGCATGTGTTATCTACAAGGACAATAATCGATCCTGAGAATTCGAATGATTGAGAACCAAAGAAATCCCTCTGATGTCAAAGGTAGCGACTACGTCTGTATCGAAATTCGTATTTTGGGATGGTAGGTACAGAAACAACTCATTTATTTGGAAAGTTTATTTGGATGATTGGATACCATGGAAATACCTCTGCCTTCTGAGATACCCACCTGCCTTTCACTTTTGTATTGGAATTCGTAATTCGTAATTTTCAGCCTTCCCTGGTGCCTTCACCAAATACTCAAATAATCATATTTATTATAATATTTGGTGAATGCGAAATAAAATTGGGAGTCCGCCAAAAATTATATAATTCCTCCATATTTCATCAATAAGTTCTTGTGTTTCACGAGATCTTTTATATCAGGGAAGATATTAAACATGAGTCATTAACTTATAGGACGAATCTGGATCTTTCTCGTTTGATATTTTTACAAAAATGAAAAATATTCACCGGCAATAAGAGAATCGGCTTCCCTTGAATATTAAAAATAATAATTGCGAACCTATGTATTTAGTTGAGGAATATCCAAGATATTTCGATACGGCCGAGTATCTGTTGAAATTCTAAAATTATAATATTTGGTGAAGAGGCAAGAACTTTGCTAGTACGCTGAAAAATTGAAAAATTCGATTCTTTCAAATTTTATAGATTTCCTTTTTTCCCCAATGATATTTTCAGTTGTTATACTATGAGTACTTCAAAATATTGGGGTTGAACATCGATAGCTTATTGCATAATTACAAAGAGTGTCCTCTGTTCCAGCGAAAAATATTAGACCATAAGACATAGAACTAATGATTACATCTGAATCTAGTTTTTTTTTTCCAAAATCTCGTTCAAAATTATATAGTTATGAGTAATGAAAATCGAATAGTTTTGATAATAAAAACCAATGCAAGTCCGGGCTGAATAAATATTTCGGTTCCACATTCGCTGTATTTCGCCGTGTTAATTCTTGATATTATGTGATAATTTCTAGCCTTCAGGGGTTGTGCCTTCACCAAATATTCGAAAAATTCTATTGATTACAATATATGGTGAAGGCGCAGGAAATGTGTCCTTCAAAAATTCGATCTAATCTTTCAATTCCATCGTTATATTTAGTTTTCCCCGAGAACTTTTTCATGCAGAGATCTAATAATACACCAATTAGTGACATCTTAAGTCGATAGGACGAGTGGTTGAGTAATAGAGTCTGAGTGATGAAAATAAAAATGTATCCATCTAATAGAATTTGAAGAAGAGTTGTATGTACTTGGAGACATTATTGAATCAGAATTCATATCAATAATTGATTTAATTGGCACACTTGATATTTTTGTCGATATTTACAGATAAATCTTAACCATAGTTTGGACGTAAACAAAGTTTATCGAGGCCTTTGAAAACGAGCCATTTTCAAATGTATTATAGCTAATGATGGAAGTTGTATTTGCCGTCTTTATTTGAAAAATATGCCATAGTTTAATATCTGGTGGAAGCGCTGACATGTTTGGAGACTCAATAGTTATTCTTGAATTAACGGCTAAATATGCACCTAAATCAAGTCTAAAATCGTTACCATTCAAAGACATCAATTTTATTCAGAAAAAAATACTCTTGACTTTTCCATATATTGAATATTGCATCAAGAAAACTGAAATATCATGTTCACTTCCTATAAAATATTGTAATGCGCTTTTTTCTCATATTTTTTTCAGCAAAATCTGCCAGTAGTTCGGGACCCAGTGAATTGGAGATAATCCACGAGAGATATATGACTTGCCTACGTGTTTATACGCAACACATGTACCCACAACAAGCTACTAGGTTTCAAGACTTACTAGTTAGGTTACCAGAAGTAAGTAAACATACATTATACTCATTTCAGGAAGGTGATATTAATTGGCCCTTACCTACAAATACCCACAGAATATCTACTTACTTCAAAAAATTACAAACTATCAGAAATATTAAGTTCATGTCACAGATAGAACCTCACAAATACTAATGAAGTCTTCGAATATATTTATGAATTGAAAATACTTATTATTTAGCGATGAAATTATTACATGTATATAACTTTATCACACAGATCCTTATAGAAACTGTTAAAATCTATGCATGAGATTCGATAAATCAAATAACATACTGTCAGATAGATCCTGGCATACTCATAGATCCTCAGAGCTCTTATGAGGATCAATAAGGAATCTTCATCAGCTCAATGAGATTCGCTTCCAAATTAAACCTGCATTATTTCTATTGTTAGAGTGCACAATGTTTTGAGTTCCTTTCATGCTGAACTCCGTCATTCTGCTTTATTTCCTTATACAGATTTTCTTAAAATCCATAAAATTTGGTAAGGAAAATTAGAAATTCCTATTATATTAAGATATTATGATGACATATTAGAAAGAGTGACAGATAGATCCTTATAAATACTCATAGATCCTGTAAGGGTTTTATGATATCTCATAGAATGTTTTTATCAGCTCTTCTATGCGATATCCTTCCAGATTCAGTCTGCATTGCCGCTTTTGTTGGAGAGCAAAACATTTTACGTAGCTTGCCTGCTGAACTGTGACATACTGATTCATCCTTATTGAAACTCATGAAACGTAGACATGAGATCTGATAAGACAAATTGCACCATCTTAATAATTTATTAAAAATGTGGCAGATAGATCCTTGCAGACGCTCATAGATCTTATAAGGGTTTATGAGATTTTATAAGGATTTCAAATCAGCCTGTCAATGCGATTTTCTTTCAGATTCAATCTGCAGCGTCGCTCCTGTTGGAGAGCAAAATGTTCTACGTTCCTTTCCTGCTGAACTCGGCCATTCAAAGGTAGTACGCGGCAGATGGCGCCAGCGTCAGCGGGACAAAATAGGTGAATTTCTCCATGGAAACGCGACAGATATTTATACAGAGAGAAAAAGAGAGAGTTTAGAAAATGTGTACATAATCGTCGACGCATATACACGAAAACAAAAAATTATATTAAAAATTATCTGTTATCTGTTAAGATGTTCGTCTTGGATATCAAGTTGACTGTGTATTCCGAAAACGTACTGATGATGATATATGTATTCGTCGAGACTTTTTTTTCTGTCGCGAGGGAAAAATGACGTTTGTGCTCGGAGAATGAAAGACTGAGTTTGACATTGTCTGAGTATGAACCCTGAAACTTGAGTACAGACCACTTATGCAATGATCCACGAAAAATATTATTTCCAGCTAGGATTTCTTCAGATTGGCTTAATCAAATGTGAATATCAGTCCAGAATACTGTAGGAAAATGGAACGATATTCTTTACTTTGAAAATTTTAATGGTGGAGTGTAAAAAAATGTGAAGGGTTCGGAATATCGAAGAAATTTTTCAAAAATCTCCACTATACCCTATAAAGAAAATAACCAAAAACTTGAAAAAAATCAAAAACTGCTTGGAATACCAAATGAATTTCAGAAATCTAAATATATGAACAACCCCATGCTTCGTATATTGAATAAAAAAACGGAAATGTTGACTTTTATGAACAATCGATTCGACACATTCTCGATTGTCAACTTATTCAGTGAATACTTAATGAAATCCTGATTTCTTTCTCTGAGAAATACTTGCTCAATTCTGATCTAACTCTGACAACCACCTAATTTCATTTACTTCTGTGTAGGACGATTTTTCTTATTTTCCAGCTAACTATGCAGTATTTTCTTCGAAATGATTATCATACTTTTTCTCAGTACTGTATACACGCCTGGCAAGGTAGCGCGGTTTCTCTATAGGAAAATTATTCTTGCTACACGTGTATATACTGACTAGTTCTTCATTTTTCTTGTTTTACACCTGACCTTTTTCTTTTGTTCAATGCATCGAACTCTAGCTTAATTTTCTTTCTACTTCTGATCTCCTCATTGACTTGCCTACTATCCTCTATTATTTTGTTTTTACAATTCTATTCAATAGTTGACAAACATTCTTATTGTCTGTATACACGCCTGGCAAGGTGGCACGGTTTCTCTATTTTAAAATTATTCTTGCCACACGTGTATATACTGACTAGTTCTTTATTTCCCTTTTTTTACCACTGACCTGTTTCTTCTGTTCAATGCATCGAACTCTGGCTTTATTTTCTTTCTACTTCTGGCCTCTCCATTGTCTTATCTACTATACCCTCTATTATTTTGTTTTTTCAATTCTATTCAATAGTTGACAAAACATTCTTATTTTCTGTATACACGCCTGGCAAGGTGGCACGGTTTCTCTATATTAAAATTATTTTTGCCACACGTGTATATTCTGACTAGTTTTTTATTTCCCTTTTTTTTGCCACTGATGACCTTCTTCTCTTGTTCAATGCATCAAAGTCTGGCTTTATTTTCTTTCTATTTCTGGCCTCTCCATTGTCTTATCTACTATACCCTCTATTATTTTGTTTTTTCAATTCTATTCAATAGTTGACAAAACATTCTTATTTTCTGTATACACGCCTGGCAAGGTGGCACGGTTTCTCTATATTAAAATTATTTTTGCTACACGTGTATATTCTGACTAGTTTTTTATTTCCCTTTTTTTTGCCACTGACCTTTTTCTTTTGTTCAATGCATCGAAGTCTGGCTTTATTTTCTTTCTATTTCTTTCCGCTCCATTGTCTTATCTACTATACCCTCTATTATTTTGGTTTCTCAATTCTATTCAATAGTTGACAAACATTCTTATTGTCTGTATACACGCCTGGCAAGGTGGCACGGTTTCTCTATATTAAAATTATTCTTGCCACACGTGTATATACTGACTAGTTCTTTATTTTTATTTTTTTACCACTGACCTTTTTCTTTTGTTCAATGCATCAAACTCTGGCTTTATTTCCTTTCAACATCAGATCTCTTCATTGTCTTATCTACTATACCCTCTATTATTTTGGTTTCTCAATTCTATTCAATAGTTGACAAAACATTCTTATTGTCTGTATACACGCCTGGCAAGGTGGCACGGTTTCTCTATTTCAAAATTATTCTTGCCACACGTGTATATACTGACTAGTTCTTTGTTTCCCTTTTTTTACCACTGACCTTATTCTTCTGTTCAATGCATCGAACTCTGGCTTTATTTTCTTTCTACTTCTGGCCTCTCCATTGACTTATCTACTATACCCTCTATTATTTTGGTTTCTCAATTCTATTCAATAGTTGACAAACATTCTTATTGTCTGTATACACGCCTGGCAAGGTGGCACGGTTTCTCTATATTAAAATTATTCTTGCCACACGTGTATATACTGACTAGTTCTTTATTTTTATTTTTTTACCACTGACCTTTTTCTTTTGTTCAATGCATCAAACTCTAGCTTTATTTCTTTCCGATCTCTTCATTGTCTTGCTTAATATACCCTCTATTATTTTGTTTTTTTCAATTCTATTCAATAGTTGCCAAACATCATCATTTTTTCTTTAAATCCACTCAATATTGTATACAAATTGACAAGACTGACTAGAGCTTTATTTTCTTCGAGTTAGTACCAATCTGTGACCTTTTTTATTTTTCCAACGATGCATTGAACTATGTTCTGCGTGGCATGAGCTAGGAAAGTAGTTGTTTTCCTCCGGAAATCTACCATTGTTGTTCATTTTATGAACATTGTGTGGAAATCACTTTAAGCTTTTTGTATTTATTTACCATTTCATTCCACTCTGAGCATTGTAGCTATTCCGTAGTTGCTATTCTTCAACGTCAAACTAAAACTAATTTTCCTTCAATACTCGTCGAACTAAAATTCTCATTTTCTGACTATGACTGATTCCATTTCTGTGAACCACTGGAATTGTTGGTGATCTGTACTCTGGTAGGTATACAATTCATGTAAAAAATATTGAGCACGAAAAAATTGTGTACGGACAAGCCGCTACATAAGTCTGAGTAAGTTGCCTTCTATTCCTTGTAAACGGTGGCACTATATTCCCGATGTACTGGGCGTTTTCCATCTCGAGTCCCCCAATTCTCACTAGAGTTAGTCTCAAATACATCACACAAACGTTTTAATATAATACATTTATACGAGATGATATTATACATGGCGTTTCCGAAATTGAGGCAATGAATAGAGAGAGGTGTTCTATGAGATATACAGGGTGTCTCAGAATGAAGTTCGTATACTCGGGGAGATAATTCTGCAGATGGAAATATGAAGAAATATTCCTATCAACATGTGTCCAAAAATTATCCCTAACTGCGTTAGAGCCCTTTGAACGTATGTCCTTGAATGCAGTTTTCTTCAATTATCTTTGTTATTATTGCCTCTAGGATCATGAAATTTGGTATCTGAGGGTGATTTGATCTTAGAAATCGTTTCTTAGTACGAAATTCATGATTCAATATACAGGGAGGTGCGAAACTCGGTAAGTGAAGCTATAAAAAAAAAATTTTTGTTTCAAGATGTATCTCAATTTTACTAGCAGAATATGCTGTCTGTAGGTTAATCGGGGAGGTGGTACATTCATTATTCCAAATTTTTCGGGATTTTCTCTTCTCGTTTCTATAAAATAAAAATATATGAATATTATTTCAATATACGTGTAGTATATAAGGACAAATCAGATGTTTTGCCCCATTGGAAAAGAAGATAACAACCAGAAGAGAAAAATCAAAGAATCTGCTTGCATTTTTATAGTATCGGTTACGAGTTTCGCACTTCCCTGTATATTGAATCATGTTTTTCGTACCACGAAACGATTTCTACGATCAAATCACCGACAGGTATCAAATTTCGTGCTTCTAGGATCAATGATACTGAAGATAATTGCAGAAAACTGCATTTAAAGATCTACTTTCGAAGGACTCGAGCGCCTTCAGGAATCATTTTCGGACACCTGTTGATAGGAAAATTTTTTCATATTTCCATCTGTAGAATTACCTTCCGGAATATACGAACGTTATTCTGGGATACCCTGTATATAATCACACGATAAATCACAAAACAAAATATAAGTTCTTTCATCTTCCAACTATTATTGAACGTCTGGCAACATTGCAAAAGTCATTGATACTTCCGGTTCTTGTTATCTCGCCGAAAGCAAACGCTTTTGAGTTGCTCTATCAAAATGCGCTCAATGATTTACAATAGTTTGAGGCGAACATTTGTTTTTTTTTCCACAAAAATATATTCAAGTCATGGAAACCATCCATCCTTCTCAAAGTGGTCCAGATTTTTTCAAAGAATAAACAATACACTAAGTCGGTCGACCACAAAGTTTTATTACAAATAATTTACTTTTTTGTGACTAGTTTCGGCTCAAACAGCCATCTTCAGACACAATACACAGTACCTGTAAAGATATTTGGATTACAAGAATAATACGATAGGAAAAATATACCTAAAATGCCACGTGGAAATCACATAATTAATAAAATCAGCATATTAAGGAGCAGTGGTCATTTGGCCAAAATTCAGTTCGGTAAAGAAATATTAAAATTTTTGAACCGACTATGAACAGCCAACAATCATTAGGTTCAACATTGTTGGGTTCTTTTGGCTATACAGTCGGTTCAAAAATTTTAATATTTCTTTACCGGACTGAATTTTGGCCAAATGACAACTGCTCCTTAATAATCTAATTTTATTAAATATGTGATTTCCACGTGGTCTTTTACGTATCTTTTTCCTCAATATCTTATTATCCTTGTAAACCAAATATCTTTACAGGTACTGTGTATTGTGTCTGAAGATGGCTGTTTGAGCCGAAACTAGTCACAAAAAAGTGAATTTTCTTGTAATAAAACTTTGTGGCCGACCGACTTAGTGTATTGTTTTTTCTTTGAAGAATATTGAATATTCTTTCATTTCGTTTTATTG